TTTTTTTTGGTACCAGGGATCGAACTTGGGACCATATGCTTGCCAGGCAGATGTTTATGCCACTGAGCTATATCTCCAGCTGAGGATAAGTCTTAAAAAGGTTTCTGAAACACTGAAAACTGCCAGACTATCAATCAACCTTCCACAAACTAAAATAAATTTGCTTATGCTAATTTGTAGAATTTAAGCAATGTGCCTGCCTGCCTGCCTGCTTGCTCTTACTCTCTAGCTCTCTCTTTATCTCTGCCTCAGCTTCTTGGGTCTCTATGACTTGTATACATAAACCACTGTATCCAGTTTGATTTCTTTTTTAAAAATAAATTTTACTATGAATACTTACAAATACAACATGTCAGAAACTGTATAATTAAATGGTTATAATAGTGAAACAAAATAACCTCACAAAGTTAAATATTTTTCTCCCTGTGGCAGGAGACACTATAATGTAATCATTTAGCCCAAATGAACTATTAACTATGGTTCTCCTCATGCTGTACATTGTTTCTACCCCTTCATCTTAAGCATCTTTTTCCTTGTCTCTTATTTTATTATCTTTTAAAAAAATTACTTTAAAGAGAGTATAGTAATAATTAATATGACAGAAATGGTACACATTTAGAGGACCAAGATGACAGGTAGGTATTTCAAGCATGGTTTTAGTATTACACATTGCTCTTCTCAATGTAGTTGCTTAGTTCACAGATATCAGCACATTTTAAGCATTTGCTACATTGTTTTTTGTTTTATTTTTTGGTAATGGGGAATCAATCTCAGGACCTTGTGCTTACCAGGCAGGTGCTTATGCAGCTGAGCTACCTCCCCCCATTTGCCATTTGCTACTTTGTAGGAGATCTTACAATCTCCTGGGGCCAGGAAGATGGCTCAGTAGGATAAGCGCTTGACTGGCAAACACAAGGATCTGAGTTCAATCCCTGGTTCTGCAAAAAAAAAAAAAATCTCCTATACCCCTATTTCTTCTTCCTTGCCTGTATTTTCTTTCTTATCCAATTAAAATGGTACCAGGTAAAAGCTACCTAGTTTGATTTATTTTGTTTTATTCTTTTAGCTACGTAGCTTTAAAAAAAAATTTTTTTTATTCTTTGAAAGTTTAAATGTTTATTAGCTACTTAGTTTTAAATGCAAATGAAAATGCTGCATTTTTCTACACAAGGTCCACATATCACATATAAATCAAACAATACCAGTAACTAGCCCTATCACCCAATTCTGTGTTCAATCTTGTAATACTGCTCCCAGCCTTATACTATGCCAGATGTATAAAGACCAGATTGGTCGAAGAGTCTATTTACTGAAATATAACAGTTCTTTAATTCTATAAAGGCTGGCAAAAGGTCATATCTCTTGCATTAAATTACAATAAATATCAATTAGACCTGGCTAATTTTGTCATTAAATGCAGACCTTAACATATTACAGTACATTTCCAAAACTTTTAGCGATTTCTGAAACTAGTTTAGAAAATAACTACAACACAAGTACCTTACTTGTTCACAATTAAGTCCAATCTTCTTGTAGGATGTGCTTCCAAGTTCTCCCTATCAATATCAATAAATTCAGTAGGCAGCCTCATACACTGCCTAGACACACTGTTGATACAAAGATGCAAATACAGAATAACAATGACATGCCAGGAAATGACTGAGCTGTCTGTTCATCACATGATCCTCCCTAAACAAATAGGGCACCTGTGCACACCAAAGTACAATCAACACTATGAGGAAGGGACTTCTGAGAACTCTGCTGGCACAGAACCCTCTTGGTTTGAATAACAAAGTACTTTAAGGAAAGGAGTTTTTAATTTATCACCGCAGAATTGGACTCCCAAGGTAAGAAGGCATTCCAAGTATTAAGTGGCAATCCTATAGAAATGTGCTACCTAATGAGATAAGAATTAACTACATGTCACCACTGAGCACTTGGAATGTGGCTGGCCCAATCTGAGATGATCTGTTAGTGTAAACACACAGTACAGTGGGGCATGGCGTGGTGGCAGACACCTGTAATCGCAAGTAGTACCTGGGAGGAAGGGCAGGAGGACTGCAAGTTGGGTAAATCAGCTAGACGCGGGGAGGGGGGAAGGGGGGGCAAGAGCATAGTTTAAAGGGACAGCAGTCCTAGGTTAGCGTCTCACTATCAGAAAACAAACAAACTAAATAAATAAATAATACACAGATGCACCAGAATTTGCAGATTTAGTACAAAATCATGGAGACTATCTTATTTTTGTGTTTATTTGTTTGCTTTGAGGCACTGTCTCACTATTTGGTTCAGGTTGGCCTTAAACTTACTGTTGTTTGTGTCTCAACTCCTGCCTAAGCCTCCTTAGTGCTGAGCTTACAAATGTGTAGCACACCATACCTGGCTTGTAAAATATCTCAATTGTTAACTTTAATTAATAACATGTTGAGGACTGGCAAGATAGCTCAATGGTCTAAAGCACCTGCTTAGGCAAGCTTAGGCAAGGGTGCAGGGATCCCTGGCACCACATGTGGCACTGCCCCCAGGGTGGGCTGATCCGGCCACAAAAACAAAGAACAAAACAAAAACCATGTTGAAATTACACCAAATTAATAAAAGATATTTATAGCTGGATGAGGTGTCTAAGAATGTAGCTCAACTGAGTTCAATCACCAGTGCCACATACAAACACACGAAAATCATTTTTACTTTGTTAATGTAACTACTAGAGATTTCTTTCATTTTTTTCTGTTGAATGGTGCTGCTACAGACTTACAGTCTAGCTTCTGACAATCTAAAATTCTCATTTGGTCTTCCCAGTTACAGTTGTCATTTAAAAGGTAAAACACAAAGCAGTATTGTCCTTCTTTACCAACTTGAGATAAGCAACAGGGCATGGTGGCACACTGCTGTAATCCCAGTACTCAGAAAGCTAAGGCAGGAGGACTACAGTGAGTATGAGGCTATCCTGTCCCACTCCCCCAATACAGTAATTTTTTTTAGATAAATTACTAAGAAAAATAACTTCAAATAATCACCAAAATAATCTGCAGAACAACTTTGTCCTGGTACTATTTGTCAAAGAACTCTGTAAAGACAAAAGAAACACAAGATGCAAAAGCCGTATCACTTAAGAAAATGAGATGAAAAATATAATAACCAAATCTAATATAGTAAAATATCTAAATACTGACTATATGTGTAAAAGTCACCTTTAAAATGAAATGGACATTTCTTATACCTTTAGCATATGGGGCTTTTTAAAAAAGGACTGGGTTCTGTCTCTTATTCAAGGATCTTCAACCACAAGTGAACCAGTAAGACTGTAAAAAATGATAACTGAATTATCTTTCCGAAAAGCAAAAGAAAATACTAAACAGAAAAATTAAGAGGAATTATCTCAGTTTCTTTAGAAATAAGTAGGCAAACGTGGGCCCCAAAACATTATAAATTAAGAACATTTGTTTTAAAATAAGCATTTTTTTTCAGGTACTGTCATTTATAATTATGTTCTATGTATTTTTTCTTATGTATTTAGTACAGGGTCTACAGGGTCTCACTACACAGATCAGACTGGTAGTGATCTTCCTGTTTTTAGCCTCCCAAGCGCTGGGATTATAGGTGTGCACCACCATGCCCAGTCTGTTTTATGTATTTTTGTGAGTGTGTGTAGTGCTTGGGATCAAACTCAGGACCCTGAGCGGGCTAGGTAAGGATTCCACCACTGCGCCATACAACCAGCCCTAAAAATTGTATTTGAAAAGTGAAAAATTCAATGACCTGGAGTGGGTCACGTTCTTCTGCTACCATTAAAAAATCATTTACCTTTATTTGATTTTAAAATATTTAGGCCCCCAGGGTTGGGAGGGCATCCAGTATATTCCTAAATCTATGGGAAAAAATGTGAAAGAAGGATGAAAAAGCTTTCTTAGGTGTTGAGAGAATGCAAGTCACTTCTAGAAAATTTTCTGTGAGAACACTGCATAAATAACCTGAAGAAATTAAGATCAATGAGTAAGTCCCCAGGGATCCACCACAGTTGACTAGATACTTTCTACGGTGTCCGAGTAGTCCAAAAGTCATGGTTAGCTGTCAATAATTCGTCCATCTGAATTTCATCAGTTGAAGATCATCTTCAGACTGCTTATTAGGTAATACATTCCTCAGAAACCTTTTCCTTGTGCATTTAAACACCAAGCTCAATTATGCTCCCAGTCAAGTAAGCAGAAGGAGGTGATTGGCTGCAGTCTTCTGCTTTGGGTAGAAAGGATAATGGGTAAAGCTCTTCCAGAGTATGATCCTCAAAACCCTGAAGTCGCTCTCAAAGAATCGGGTCTTCTAACACTGCCCAACAGACTGCCAAAATTTCCATTACAGCATCCTATTTTTAGGCATTGGTATTTTAAATTGCATTCTACAGTACAGTGTGTTTAAGTAAGTTTACACAGGAAATAAAATAAGCACTCCTCAGGCTTTAATCCTTTTATGCCTAGAAAGGAATTTTAAGCTTTTGAATCTTATTATTTTTTTTAATCTTCAATTTAACTCTTTCAAATACGCAAATTCAGTACGTATTGGCCCGGAGGGAGGCTCGGGAGGGACACTTCGCCGGTTCCTGACACCAAAGTGGTGGTGACGGCGAAGGTGGGGGCGAAGGGTCTGGGTGGGGTAGGAAAACATCCCCGGGGTGGGAAGCCCAGGCTGTTTCCAGCGGGGCAGCAAGGACCACAGGCAAAGCCGATGCCGCAGGCTCCCCGGGGAGGCGGGCGAGGAACGACTTCCAGCGCTCGTCCCCCAGAGAGAGAAACTGGCGCGACGCGCAGGAATAGGAACCCCGCGCCGCCGCGAGCAAAGAGGAAAACAGGCGGGCTGAGGGGAGGGCGCGCGGTACACCTCGCCGAGGGCAGAGGCGGCGCCGCAGGAGGAGGGCAGCGCAGGGGGAGGAGCGAGGGGCTTCCCAGCGCCTTCCCATCCCGGCCGCGAGCCGGTGGGTCCCGGCAGCCAGCTCTACCGCTCCTCACCTGGGAATTCGAGGCGAAAGCCGCGCTATCGTCGGGCGCCGAGTCCGCTTCTCACTCCACTCGCTGACATGGCGGCGGGCTAGCTGTCACGGAGCTTGCTCGGGTCTCCCGCGGCTCGGGCGGATCAGACACCTCTCGCCTTTCCGCCCCGCCTCCCTCTGCGCACCCCTCCCTGCTGGCGGGCTGACCGCCCGACACCGCGGAGCATAGAGCACGATGGGCTAGAGAGGAAGCGCCAAGGGCGGACAACCATAGAGTAGGAGCCCGGACACTGCCGGATAGCCGGTCTCTTTCCTCGTCAGTCCACTCACAATCCTCTGGCGGCTGAACCGGAACGGAAGCGGAAGTGACGGAGGAAGTAGGCGGGGAGAGTTGATCGCGTGCGCACTTTGTAGTGTTTACTTCCGCTTGGCTGGTTTGGGTGGTGAGATGTAGCACGTGGGCTTTAGTGCTTTGCATTCGTCAAAGTAGTGGACCTGGGTGATCTTTAGCAAGGACATTGCGACAAGGATGTGGGGCCCAGCAGCGGTTTTTCCTCCGCGGTTGACAAGGTCAGTTTTGCCAGGTGCTGGCCTCTTTTACTTTGGGAGGTTGGGAGCAACGCTGCGGAAGGACTGGCGGGCAATTCGCCGTGACTACTGCCCACAGCCGTTGCCGGATGAAGATCCCAGGAAGTTGCGCCGGCCGTCCTTTGGCTACTTCATTTCGAGCAGTTCCATAATCAGCCCGAAATTGGCTGAGATCTTGGCAGAAATGCTGAACTTGGGAAATAACGCACATCGGCACATAGTCATGGAGTGCAATCCAGGTGAGCCCGGCTGGCTGGCTTCCTTGCTTGCTTTCTTTTTCGGCGGGATCTCACTGAACAGTTCACTGTACAGTGTACGCTGGCCTTGAACTCCCGTTGTGCTCCAGTCTGATCTGGTGCTCACAGCGATCTTCCTGCCTCAGCCTATCGAGTATTGAGACTATAGACGTGCGCCCCCCCTCCCCCGCCCTGTGTGTTCAGTCCGTCTGCACGTATTATGGTTCATACGTGGCGTGCTGTTGAACGGTCTGCCCTTTTCTTGAAGCAGTTTGCTCGGAGAGGTAGTTAAAAACATATATCTATATTCTTGAAGGCTCCACAAAGTATTCTGTAGCAGTTTGCGCTTTAGACAGCATTTGGATAAAATAGTACTTTGCTCTTAACTTTACCAAAACTTGGATCCAGGGAGCGCTTCTGTAATTTACCCAGGCCCATTGTGAACTCGGGATCTTCCTGCCTCAGCTTCCCAGAGTGCTGGGATTACAGTAGCCTCCCAAGTAGAGGGATTGTGTGCTTGCACTACCCTGCCAAGGTGTTTTATCCTTCTTATGCATTTACTAAAGGCTACAACAGGACGCTGATTTGTAGTCTTTAATGTTTTTAAAGCACTCTTTCCTGTCCCAAGGAGTCAGTTCTGTTTAGGCTTGACAGTACTTTTATGTGTTTATTTATTTATTTTTTGGTGGTTAAAGCAACTAGATAGGCCATGAATAAGTGATAGGCTAGAGGCAATCTTTCCTGTCGGTTTTTTTTTTTTTTCTTTATGAATAGTAAACTGTGGTAGAAATTCTGAGCCAGGCATGGAGGTGTGTGCCTGTAATCCCAAACCCTTCATTTGGTAAACTGAGGCAGGAGGATTGCCAGGAGTTGCAGCCTAGTCTAAGCTGTGTAGTGAGTTCAAGGCCAAACTGAACTACACAGTAAGACCTTACCAAAAAAAAAAAAAAAATTTTTTTTTGCAGTTCCTGATGGCAGGCTAGATAAAAAACCCAGCTTTGCCACTTACTGGGATGTTGGAGTCAGGTAACTAATTTCTTCTTCCTTTATAGGTAAAAAGAGTGGTATGTATTTGGGGGATTTTATGAAAATTAAAATTAGATAATACTTGTGTACCAACTTTTAAAAAAATTGTTATTAAACAGATTGTGTTTTTGCTTTTGCACATAACTTTCTGTTGTGTTACTGTATTAGGTCCTGGAGTCCTGACTAAGGCATTACTAGAAACTGGTGCTTCAGTGATTGCGCTTGAAAGTCACAAAAAGTTTATTCCACACTTGAAGGTACTGTTTAGATCCTGGCAATAATTTATTGTTCAATTGCTAACATTGAGTAGTCTAAGAAAGTCTAGAATAAAGCCTATTTTTTTAGGGACCATGTCTCAAGTACCTTGTTATATTTAGTGACTAGCGGACTAGCACACAGTAAGTATTCAGTGCTTAATGAGTAAAAGTTTGGAAATTCTGAGACTTGTTTTTAGTTCTACATTGAGAGGGTTGATTGAGAACATGATACCCCAAAATGCACTTTGGAGGCCAGGGATGTAGCTAAGCAGTGCAAGGCCTGCCTTGTACATGTGAGGTCCTGAGTTCAATTCCCAGTAACAACAACAAATCAAAATGTGTTGTGGCCTGCTGAACACTTTAAAAGAGGGGACCATGGAAGCCCTTAGAGGCAGCTTCAGAGCCAAGGTCGCTGTGTCTCTTACACTTTGTTCTCCAATGCATTGAGTCTAGAAACCAGATTGCCTGTTCCCAAAGGAGAGTTGTAGAAGGTAGAAATCTCTTTTCTCAGAGCAAACCATTAAAGCCTAAAAAATAACCTAAAAAGTAACTTTTCCCTGAGCTATGCATAAAGACATTCCCTGACCTACTTTGTCTGGTACTACATCATGACCCAGTCCTGTGGAGTCCTCTGTATACCCAGGAAAGAAGGAATGCTACAGAGACCAGGAGCAAGCCTGGCTGAATTCTTTCAGCCAATAACATTAAATCACACTCTTTAACAATCATATCTCCATACATCTGTCCAGTCTTCACTGACTAAGCATAACAACAGACAGTTTCCCCTGGATCATTGGTTGTTTTGTTTTGTTTTATATTTGGAACAGGGTCTGTAGGGTTTCACTACATACATAGTGATCTTCCTGTTTTCAGCCTCCCAAATGCTGGGATTACAGGCATGCGCCACCATGCCCAGTCTTACCATTTCTGCATCCCGTGGGCAGCGTCACTATGATTTATGGTTCTGGGGATCAAACCCCGGACCCTACACTCTGCCTAAGCAGGTGCTTTAGTCCACTGAGCTATCTGGCCAGCCCCCTTTGTTTCTTAATTATGAAGGCTCTTATGTGCATAAAGCTTTTTAAATAAATGTGTTCCACTTTTCTCTTAACTTGTCTTTCATTATGAGAGTGTAAAGTGTGCCTCTTGTTGGGGGGAGGAAGGTACCATATTTTTCCACTGCTGCACTCTGCCGTAGATTAGTTTAATAGCTTGAAATAGAGCATAATTGGTATTACTCGGCTCCTTTCCTCTTTAATAGGCTGTGCTATGCCTCTGCCTTGTCTGAGTGTAGCCTTTTTTTTTTTTTTGAGTGTAACCTATAATTTTATAAAGATGAGACGTTGAGTGCAGGGTCTGGAATTTAATCTCCAGTGCTGTAAAGAGCAAAGAATTACTGTTCTAAAGGGTACTGCTTTAGAAATCCAAGATTTTAGCCAAGTTATTGAATTGCTGTTAGCATCTGCTGGAATTTAAAAAGAAGGAAGAAAAGCAAAGACAAGAAAAGGGAAGCCACATAATATTATGTGTGACCTGCGGCTAGGGATGTAGCTCAACAGTATTAAGTGTCTGCCTGGCAAGCACAAGGACCCAGGTTCAATCCCTGGTAAACCTTGCTGACCCTGAAACTGGGCGTGGTGGCGCACAGCTGTAATCCCAGCCCTGGAGAGACTGAGATGAGGATCATTATGTCTGAGCTGCATAGCGAGACCCTGTACCAAATAATTAATTTTTTTATAAACCATAGAAGCCTGGAAGTGTAGCTCAGTTGTAGAGCCCTTGCCTAGCATGTATGAGGCCCAGGGCTTGATTTCCCAGTACCACAGCCTATATTTGAAGGTTAATCTATATTTGAAGGTTAATCTCCGTGTTCCCAAAATTATTTAAGATGACATTAAAATGTTTCTATTTAAATTTTGTTACTATTTAACACTATAACCATTTTTCTAGAAGAACTTGAAAGATAACAAGCTTAAAGTTATACTTATGGCCCATATTTGCAACCCCAGCTCTTTGGGAGGCAAAAGCAGGAAGATACCATATTTGAGTCCAAAGTGGTCAATTTAGAGAGACCTATCTTGAAATTTAAAAATGAAAAAGGGCTAAGTTTTTTCACTCAGAAGACCTTAGGCTCAATCCCCCACTTTAAAAAGAAACATTTCTTTAAGATCTAAAAGAAAAATAGTTGCTTTAGTAATAAAGAGGATAGGGACCAGAAAATTTTTGACAGAGTAGTTTTCATAGGAATATCAGTAATAAAATGCTGCCAAATGTAAACATCACGGACTGAACTCAGTCCTTGATTAGAATTGATTTTTGCTTCTTTTCTGACTTTTTTTGTTTGTTATTTGATCTTTTTGAAACAGGGTCTCTGTATGCAGTTCAAGCTACCTTTGAGCTCTTTGTAGAGCTGTTTGTAGGGGCTGGTCTCTTCCCAACTGTCCTCCTGCCTCAGCCTCCTAGGTACAGGGATTATAGCCATTACAACCACTCCTGACTTTTCTTCACATCTCCAGCTTCCTCCTTTACTGGGAACAGAACCCAAGGCCTTACATGCTAAGCACACACACTTAACATGCAGCTTTAGTGCACTTTGAGTCACTTTTATTAAGTAGCTTTCTAGTAAGAGTGAAAAGCCATTCAGGTATTTGTGTGAATTTATCTATTTGCTAGAATAAAAGTAATGGAGAAGTAGAACCTTTGACTTAAAATCAGGGAACTAAAGTAGCATTCTTAGGAGATAATGTTTCTACCAACTGAAAGGCTGTCAGGTTTATTCCTAAATCCTGAAAGAATTTTTATTTATTTTATTTTATTTATTTATTTTTTGGCGGAACTGGGAATTGAGCTCAGGCCCTTGCACTTGCCAGGCAAGTGGTTATTCTACTGAGCTATCTTCCTGGCCCCCCTGAAAGAATTTTAAAGGATTCTGGGTTTTTGTGAAACTTAATTTCTTTCCTCCACATTTCTGTTATAAAAGTGCTGGAGGGCTGGTGAGATGGCTCAGTGGTCTAAAGCACTTACTTAGAACAAGCTTAGCAAAAAAGCACAGGGACCACGGTTCAATCCCCCAGCACCACATGCCAGTCAACCCC